ACATGGAGAAACCCTTGAAATAACTTCCCAGGCTTGGGAACTCCTACTAATATATCTACATGTCGGTGTATCACCATGATGGTCACTGGAAATAATGCTCTTTGCATTTGTGGTAATTTGGAATAACCCCCCCTTACAGCAGGAATTTCCTATTTCTCAAGGAGCACCAAGCAGCCTCTGGTAAAACCATAGGGTACCATGGAAGCCTGCTTGAGGAAGGCTGGTTTAGACCATGAATTTGATGGTGCTCTGCACTTTACTTGTACTGCTTGCTCCCTGTACTGATAGAATTACATATAGCAGTAGTTGACGGTTGAGGGGCTTTATTGGGAAAAAAAAAATAATTTAATACTGGAAATGAATTGCCCACTTTGAGTTTGGTTTTTTTTAATTGTACATGTGAATGAAAATTTACCATTTTTTTTTGTGGTATTTTTGTTTTGCAGCTGGTCCTGTTATTATGTCTATAGAGGAGAAAATGGAAGCTGATGCTCGATCAATATATGTTGGAAATGTAAGTTTATTTTAAAGGCTGTATGCTCACAAATTTCAGCATATGTAGTTTGCTTTTTAATGAATTTTTTTTTTTTTTTTTTGCATTGTTTTCAATAAATTCTTTACTTTTTGAGTAATTTTGACTGAAAAAAGTGCTGATTTTTACACCGGCTGTTATACAAATTGGCTTTAGGCTGGTGATAACTTGAGTTTCATGGGGCGTCTATATAATTTTCTTGCCCTCCTCAATAAAAATAAGATTCAGTTAAAAGCCGATGTCTTGCAAAGAATTTCACACTGAAGCAATATTTGCAATTTGCATTTTTTAAGAGAAAGTTAATGCAACTAAAAGTTAACATACTTTGCCTGTCTAGTTGATGATTTTTGCCATCAAGGAACACAAACAATAGGCTGTCTGTATAGACAGAATACTGTATTATCAGTCCTGTTTGCCTTCTAGGTATTGACAAGTGAAATATTGTGGTATGTTTTTCATGTGCCAATGTACTGATCTTGTGTGTTAGTAATGTGCCAGCAAATATGCCTAGCAATCGCTAACATTCAGAGTTGTCTGTCAGCATTTCATTTTATATTGTAGTACACTAAAGGTAGCTGCAGGTTGATTGCTATGGACTCAAGGATTGTGCTAATGTGTGCTTAATTGATGGAATAAATGCATTTCATAGTTTGGATATGCTTTCATGGAGCCTTAAATGATTCACAATGAAGGGTGCCCAAGAGTTCAGCATACTTTCATGTTTTAAAACTCTTATGTGCAGGTTGATTATGGAGCAACAGCAGAAGAATTAGAGGCCCATTTCCATGGTTGTGGATCTGTGAACAGGGTAACCATTCTTTGTGACAAGTACACAGGTCATCCTAAGGGGTAAGTGCTTTGTGCTGGCCGTATCATGGTTCTACATCAATGTTTGTTTTGAAGATATTGTATGTGCTGGCTGCCATGTTGAATTTTGTTTTACACCTGTCAATCGTTGCTGGTCCTACAAAGTTTAGGTCTGTTTTCTGGTGAACACATAAGATGTATAGGTCAGAGAATAAGATCATCATCTTGCATGCATTGCATATTGCTGCAATCAGTTAATTGCGTATTGTGTTTTTAGGTCTAGAAGGAACATTGCTTCCTGTGCTGCTTCTTACTTTATTTTTCCTGGTTGTACAGAATACAGGCTGCATTAAATCATGATTGGGTTATATGCAACTACCTTCAGTGGACTGGAATCTCACTGAGGATTCTGATCATGATGATACACCTTCTGAGGAAACCTCTACAACAAAACTTATGTACTGTCACTTTGCTGATGTATGCTCTTATGTAGCTTTAGAGCGGCATGCATTTGTTCGCCCTGAAGTTGTCTAGTACGGAGTCCCTAAAATTCTCTATACCACCTAAGACTTTTCCAGTTGCATGATTGTTGAGTCGGTCCTAAATATAGACTGGCCCCACCTGAAGAAAACTCTTCTCCCCCTCCCCCCAAAGTTTTGCCCCACAATATCCCAGCGAGGAACTTTTTCCTCCAGAAGTGGGCATTTTCTGTTTTAGAACTGGTCATTTCCTACCTTTTTAAAAGACCCTCCTAGCCCCTGTCGAGGATAATCCAGTTTAATAATCCTAAGTGGTTTCAGGTCCCCCTTATAAAGGCCATCTTCTCCCTGGTGGACCCTGGCTTGCAACCCACAGATGTCTGTCAGTTTGTTGTCCATTGCCCTCTGGATCCAGCTAAGTTCCCCTGCAAAAACTTCCTTGAGCATTTACTCTTTTTTTTGAGGTGAACACTTCCTTGGATAAGGACAGCTGGGATTAACAGGAGGTAAGGGTATGCCCTCTCCCAGAAAGGCATTTCTACCGGTAGTCTTCTGACATTAGGAAGGCTTCCTATTGTCCTTCCCAATCTTCCAATGCTAAGTTTAAGTCGAAACCTACTTTTGCAAGATGGCATTGCTTTTCAAACCAGTCAACACTAAAACCTGGGCCTCTTAGTAGTGAAGGGGGTAGCCCCACTTTTTAACGGTGGAGGACAGTCATCTGTTGCCTCTCTGGTTCCATAATGTCTCTAGGGCCTAGGAGCAAAGTGGTTACAAGGACATAAAATGAGTTTTGTACTCCACCCACTTCCCAGTTCATCCTCCCCAACTTTTCCCCTTCCATCATGGCAGGTAGATCTGCTTTGACTGTTGAAAGGATTTTCAGCCAGGGGGTCAATGCTGGTTTTACATGCTCAAGTTTTGCATGGAAAATGCCAGATTGGTCATTACCTGCCTCCTTCTGGAGGATTTTCTGGCTTCAATAGACATCCAGGATGCCTATCTGCATGTTCCCATAGTTGCACCTCATCAACACAATATGCCCAACAGTCAGCATTACCTGTTTGTCCCCTTTCCCTGTGGCTTGTCCACTGCCCCATGGATGCTTGCCCCAGTTTTGGATCTGTTCTATTTTCGGGGGGGGTCCACATTGTGATATACCTGTATGATCTCCTTGTCTGTCAGCCAACATCCAAGGGACAAATTGTTGCTGGAATTGTTACAGGTTGGAGTACTTGGATCTGACACTGGACGTGAATTTTGTCCAAAAGCTTTCTCTGTTTAGTCTCAAAGGAAAACCTCAGCTTGTGCAGACATGAGTGTCTAATTGTAGCCTCCACAGAAGCAGTGCCAAAGTCCAGTTTTACTTCAGACACTTGCAACTTTACATTCTGGTCACATGGGACAAACTTGGACCACCTGATACTTATGAAATGCAAGGACACTGTCCCTCATGTTGTATATTTTTGTATGGCCCTAGTTAGGGAAGTCTTTTTCTCCAGTTGTGGACATTTCCCAGAATGAATAAATACCATCCTTTCAGGCTGGGGAGAAGTCCTGAACACCACCTCAATGTAGTGGGCTTGGTCATTGGATACTTTCAGTTAATCCAGATGTCTTGTTCCAAAGGCCTGTATTCATCTTGCTTCTTGGACAGCTTTAACAGTATGGCTGTTGAAACCACAGCCCGGGGAGAGGAGGCCGTCAGATTACATAGCCCTCTTGAAGTCTAAGAAGTTGACGACTTGTAAAGTTACCATTGCACCTGAGAGAACCTACTTTTGGTTGAGTGCTACTCTGTGGAATGTATCTTATCCTGGGCTGTGGAGGTGGTGGGAGGAGCTGGCTTAGGCTCTCAGTTGACTGAATGGTTGGGATCCTTTAGAGCCTGGAACGGGTCTGTGACATCACACTGACAGTGGGCTGAAAACTGGTCAAAGGAGTGCAGAACGAACTGCACTCCTGTTATCCATTGGAGAAAAATATAGCCAAAAAAAAGCTTCATCTATACTTCTCCTTAAACCCTTTCAAGCATAGTGACCACTACAATGGATATCTATTTAAAAGCGGTTTTCTTCTATATGCAAGGGCTCTGATTGTGCAGTTGCATATCACCCTGTACATTGGACGCTAATGAGCCTTCCCATATTCAGCCACCCACTAGTTAGCCATTGTAAATGCAACAAAAATTTGTGAAAACCAAGATGGCTGACAGGCTGTCCAGTTTAGGAATATCTTGCCAATCCTTTTATCGGAGCAGACCCTCTGAGGTAAAAAAAAAAGTATTATCAATTAACACCTAAAGAAACAATGTAATTATATTGTACTAGTATTGATTTTATCTTGGGTGTAAATTACAATTATTCATCTGTCCACTAAATTGGACATTATGCATTGCTTGTTATATTTCAGCTACAATTCATACTATTACGGGATCTTTGTTTTTATTGAAGATATAGTTGCAGTAACATTTTTGGTTGTAAATTAATTTATTTATGCTATTAGAATGCAGTTTGTTACAAAATCCTCATTTGGGTAAATAAGGTCCAATATTTGAGTGGTAGTAAAGGACCAAATTTCAAAAACCACCGACAGGCAGGAGTTTTAGAACAGAAGAGGGGACAACAGCTTCTGCTTCCAATCGTCTATGCGATTGCAGCAGAAGTGGGTACCTGTCAATTTTGGGTACCTGCTCCCCAAAGGTGGGGAACAGTCATTAAGCAGAACTTCCCCTATTGGGTAGAGCTTTACTTTAAGGTACAAATCTCCACTTTGACCATTCTGTTTCATTTTCTGGTTAAGGCGTTCAAGAAAGTAGCTCACATCTCTCCTCCAGTTCATTCCTCAAGATCCCCTTGGGTTCTCAATCTAACCTCCTTTTCTCCAGCGCACGTTAGTTGAGGCCATGTTCACTGCTCTATACACATTACACGTTCCCTTATCCCTAGTCCCTAATCCTAGATGGGTAGCTACGTTCTTAGTGGGACCATGGAGAGTGAACAGGACTAGTCCCCAAACAGGAAACTAAGCATTTGTAGTTTTGGATGAGGTTGAGTGTAATAGAAACTTTTGAGTTAAAAATAAATGTCACTTTAATCAGGATATTGTCATTCCTTAGGTCCTGCTATGACATCTTTCTCTCCGCTGTCTGGATGTGGTACATGCCATGTGGGTTTACGCTCAACTCTTGTTTGTACTGAAAATTTACTTTTGTGCTTCTTGAAGATTCCTGGAAAGGTCTCCTTCCTTCCTCTCCACTATAGCTGGATGCATCCGACAGATTTTTTTTAATAAACATTCTACTTGCCTGCTCTGTGCAATGGTGTTGCACAGTGTGACCCCCCCCCCCCCCCCCGCCTCCTCTTCTGTGGTCCCCCACTGGCGCTTTCGGCTCCACCTCTTCTGCATGTACCACCGTAGAAAGCTGCTTCTTATGGTGGCACACGTGTGTGCGTGATCCTGAGCCATGCTGTGTGCTTCCATACATGCACAGCGTGGCTCAGCCCTGCCCTGTTCCCTCCTTACAGGATTTGAACTGCAACAGCAGGAGCCACTGGCGCTCGCTGTTCTGTGTCCTGTAAGAAGAGGAAGGAACACAGACCGGTGCCACTGCAGATGGGCACAGTGCTGGATTGAAGTGGAACTTGCGGATTTTACTAGTAAGCTAAGGATCCTGTTTATGCTACTGTGTGAAAAATATTTGTTTGATTCCAAGCCATCTTGAGGTTCAGGATTTTGAAAGAAGCTTTGCAAAATATCTATCAGAATCCTTGCAGCATGTTGTGCAGTCCCTGCTGGACTTGGGTTATCCTTTGCCTACAGCAAGTCCTAGTCAAGTCCTTGCAGTAAACCATTTAGGGATGTGATTCTGCTGGTGAAGTTTCAGACTGTTCTTTGCCTCAGCAAAGTACTCCTTGACCAATATTTGAGTCTCTACATTTCAGCCAGCTGTGTTTAACCACTCTACCCCCTTCGTGACCAGGGCATTTTTTGCTATTCAGCACTGTATGTACCTGGAAATTTCAGTCATGCAACACTTCTACCCACTGGGTTTTTCATTTTTTGCTGTATAAATTAAATATCACATTTTTTTTTTTAAAAAACATGGTTTTTCTTATAACATTTTGCATAAAATCTTCATAAATTTAAGAATGGATTTGGTTATATTTCTTTGATAAAATAACCCAAATCTGTGTATATTTAGTCTGTGTGAAAATTAAGGCGTCTACAAACTGTGTGTCTCGGTATGTATTTTCGATCAATCCTGATGTACTGATGGCCTATTATTTGATGACCGTTTCAAGTGGTTAATGGCTTAGAGGTTGTGTAGCATTCCTTTGGCAAGGTTTAGAGATCTTGTATGTAATGTAACTTTTCTGTTATGCGGTATTTCTACATTGACATTGAATTTTATTGATCATGTATCATTTTGTACTGGTGGTTTTTTTTTTTTTTCCCTGGTTTTAGCAGTTTCATACATTCTCTGCATGTTTGGGCACGCAGTGAGAGGATATTAAGTCAGGCCTGCAATTTTGACTGTTCTGTATTTGCAGGTTTGCCTACATTGAATTTTCTGATAAAGAAATCTGTCCGGACATCAATGGCCCTTGACGAGTCTCTGTTCAGAGGCCGACAGATAAAGGTAAGGTGCCCTGCTGGATTTGAAAAAACTGAGTTGTACTTTATTCCACACATAGCTAATGGTAGTGTGTTGTGTTTTTTTTTTTTTTTTTTTTGCTATTAGAAAATGAATATGGCATATGATCCACATCCTAGAATATTGCTTTTAAAAAATGTTGTATGTTTTTTTTTTAAATAGTAATATATACACAGCGTGTACTATATCCTTATTGGCGGCAACGTTTTGTGAGTACAGCGTTTTTTAGGTGTTAATACAGGTTATAGAGATGTTGGTAATAGTGTTAATTTGGATAAAGATCTCCTTACAGTCATGAGTAATTATCTGTATCGGTACAGATCCCATGATTAAAATGGCAGTCCAAACTACCTAGTAGCGGGCACTCATTCTTTGTTTGACATTGAGCTGATCCTCATTTTGCTTTTTCCAGAATCAGAATATTTTAAACAAACTTTAATGATTTTTTTTTGATTTTTTTTTATTTTTCCCCTCTTGAATTTGGCAGAATATTTTTATTTATTTTCTACATATTTCTGCCCATTAAGAGCCAAGCAGTGGATTTGCTTTAATCGCCTTCCCCAGCGTATGCTTTTCATTCACCTCCCCTGCCACTCCAGCACAGAGCTGAAGGAAATGCTTGGTACTTCAGGTAACAGACAATGTTCCCTTTAAATTGTTTACAGGTGAAACTCAAAGTTAGAATATCGTGCAAAAGTTCATTTATTTCAGTAATGCAACTTAAAAGGTGAAACCAATATATGAGACTCATTACCGTATATACTAGAGTATAAGCCGACCCGAATATAAGCCGAGGTACCTAATTTTACCACAAAAAACTGGGAAAAACTATTGACTCGAGTATAAGCCGAGGGTGGGAACACCAGTGGGAAGAATCGTGCCTCATCATTGGTGTCAGTGGGAGGAATAGTGCCCCATCATTGGTGTCAGTGGGAGGAATAGAGCCCATCATTGGTGTCAGTGGGAGGAATAGCGCCCCATCATTGGTATCAGTGGGAGGAATAGCATCTCAACATTGGTGTCAGTGGGAGGAATAGTATCCCATCATTAGTGTCAGTGGGGGGGTGGAGGAATAGTGCCCCATCGTTGTGTCAGTGTGGGGGGGAGGAATAGTATCCCATGATTGGTGTCAGTGGGGGGTGGAATAGTGCCCCATCATTGGTATCAGTGGGAGGAATAGCGCCCCATCATTGGTATCAGTGGGAGGAATAGCGCCCCATCATTGGTATCAGTGGGAGGAATAGCGCCCCATCATTGGTATCAGTGGGAGGAATAGCGCCCCATCATTGGTGTCAGTGGGAGGAATAGCGCCCCATCATTGGTGTCAGTGGGAGGAATAGCGCCCCATCATTGGTGTCAGTGGGAGGAATAGCGCCCCATCATTGGTGTCAGTGGGAGGAATAGCGCCCCATCATTGGTGTCAGTGGGAGGAATAGCGCCCCATCATTGGTGTCAGTGGGAGGAATAGCGCCCCATCATTGGTGTCAGTGGGAGGAATAGCGCCCCATCGTTGGTGTCAGTGGGAGGAATAGCGCCCCATCGTTGGTGTCAGTGGGAGGAATAGCGCCCCATCGTTGGTGTCAGTGGGAGGAATTGCGCCCCATCGTTGGTGTCAGTGGGAGGAATAGCGCCCCATCGTTGGTGTCAGTGGGAGGAATAGTGTCCCAATGTTGGTGTCAGTGGGAGGAATAGTGTCCCAATGTTGGTGTCAGTGGGAGGAATAGTGTCCCAATGTTGGTGTCAGTGGGAGGAATAGTGTCCCAATGTTGGTGTCAGTGGGAGGAATAGTGTCCCATGTTGGTGTCAGTGGGAGGAATAGTGTCCCAATGTTGGTGTCAGTGGGAGGAATAGTGTCCCAATGTTGGTGTCAGTGGGAGGAATAGTGTCCCAATGTTGGTGTCAGTGGGAGGAATAGTGTCCCCAATGTTGGTGTCAGTGGGAGGAATAGTGTCCCAATGGTTGGGTCAGTGGGAGGAATAGTGTCCCAATGTTGGTGTCAGTGGGGGGAGGAATAGTGTCCCAATGTTGGTGTCAGTGGGAGGAATAGTGTCCCAATGTTGGTGTCAGTGGGAGGAATAGTGTCCCAATGTTGGTGTCAGTGGGGGGGAGGGGGGGTGGAGGAATAGTATCCCATGATTGGTGTCAGTGGGGGGAGGAATAGTATCCCATGATTGGTGTCAGTGGGGGGAGGAATAGTGCTCCATGATTGGTGTCAGTGGGGGGTGGAAATAGTGCTCCATGATTGGTGTCAGGGGGGGGGGGAGGAATAGTGCCCCATCGTTGGTGTCAGTGGGGGGGGGGGGAGGAATAGTGCCCCATCGTTGGTGTTAGTGGGGGGGGGGGGGGAGGAATAGTGCCCCATCGTTGGTGTCAGTGGGAGGAATAGTGCCCCATCGTTGGTGTCAGTGGGAGGAAATAAATAGCGCCCCATCATTGGTGTCAGTGGGAGGAATAGCGCCCCATCGTTGGTGTCAGTGGGAGGAATAGCGCCCCATCGTTGGTGTCAGTGGGAGGAATAGCGCCCCATCGTTGGTGTCAGTGGGAGGAATAGCGCCCCATCGTTGGTGTCAGTGGGAGGAATTAGCGTCCCAATGTTGGTGTCAGTGGAGGAATAGCGTCCCAATGTTGGTGTCAGTGGGAGGAATAGTGTCCCAATGTTGGTGTCAGTGGGAGGAATAGTGTCCCAATGTTGGTGTCAGTGGGGGGGTGGAGGAATAGTATCCCATGATTGGTGTCAGTGGGGGGAGGAATAGTATCCCATGATTGGTGTCAGTGGGGGGAGGAATAGTGCTCCATGATTGGTGTCAGTGTGGGGGTGGAATAGTGCTCCATGATTGGTGTCAGGGGGGGGGGGAGGAATAGTGCCCCATCGTTGGTGTCAGTGGGGGGGGGGGGAGGAATAGTGCCCCATCGTTGGTGTTAGGGGGGGGGGGGGGAGGAATAGTGCCCCATCGTTGGTGTCAGTGGGAGGAATAGTGCCCCATCGTTGGTGTCAGTGGGAGGAATAATGCCCCATCATTGGTATCAGTGGGGGAGGAATAGCGCCCCATCATTGGTATCAGTGGGAGGAAATAGCGCCCCATCGTTGGTGTCAGTGGGAGGATAGCGCCCCATAGCGCCCCATCGTTGGGTGTCAGTGGGAGGAATAGCGCCCCATCGTTGGTGTCAGTGGGAGGAATAGCGCCCCATCGTTGGTGTCAGTGGGAGGAATAGCGCCCCATCGTTGGTGTCAGTGGGAGGAATAGCGTCCCAATGTTGGTGTCAGTGGGAGGGAATAGCGTCCCAATGTTGGTGTCAGTGGGAGGAATAGCGTCCCAATGTTGGTGTCAGTGGGAGGAATAGCGTCCCAATGTTGGTGTCAGTGGGAGGAATAGCGTCCCAATGTTGGTGTCAGTGGGAGGAATAGCGTCCCAATGTTGGTGTCAGTGGGAGGAATAGCGTCCCAATGTTGGTGTCAGTGGGAGGAATAGCGTCCCAATGTTGGTGTCAGTGGGAGGAATAGCGTCCCAATGTTGGTGTCAGTGGGAGGAATAGCGTCCCAATGTTGGTGTCAGTGGGAGGAATAGCGTCCCCAATGTTGGTGTCAGTGGGAGGAATAGCGTCCCAATGTTGGTGTCAGTGGGAGGAATAGCGTCCCAATGTTGGTGTCAGTGGGAGGAATAGCGTCCCAATGTTGGTGTCAGTGGGAGGAATAGCGTCCCAATGTTGGTGTCAGTGGGAGGAATAGTGTCCCAATGTTGGTGTCAGTGGGAGGAATAGTCCCAATGTTGGTGTCAGTGGGAGGAATAGTGTCCCAATGTTGGTGTCAGTGGGAGGAATAGTGTCCCAATGTTGGTGTCAGTGGGAGGAATAGTGTCCCAATGTTGGTGTCAGTGGGAGGAATAGTGTCCCAATGTTGGTGTCAGTGGGAGGAATAGTGTCCCAATGTTGGTGTCAGTGGGAGGAATAGTGTCCCAATGTTGGTGTCAGTGGGGGGAGGAATAGTGTCCCAATGTTGGTGTCAGTGGGGGGAGGAATAGTGTCCCAATGTTGGTGTCAGTGGGGGAGGAATAGTGTCCCATGATTGGTGTCAGTGGGGGGAGGAATAGTGTCCCATGATTGGTGTCAGTGGGGGGAGGAATAGTGTCCCATGATTGGTGTCAGTGGGGGGAGGAATAGTGTCCCATGATTGGTGTCAGTGGGGGGGGAGGAATAGTGTCCCATGATTGGTGTCAGTGGGGGGAGGAATAGTGTCCCATGATTGGTGTCAGTGGGGGGAGGAATAGTGTCCCATGATTGGTGTCGGGGGGGGGGGGTGGGGGAGGAATAGTGCCCCATGATTGGTGTCAGGGGGGGGTGGGGGAGGAATAGTGCCCCATGATTGGTGTCAGTGGGGGGGGGGGAGGAATAGTGCCCCATCGTTGGTGTCAGTGGGGGGGGGGGGGGGAGGAATAGTGCCCCATCGTTGGTGTCAGGGGGGGGGGGGAGGAATAGTGCCCCATCGTTGGTGTCAGTGGGAGGAATAATGCCCCATCATTGGTATCAGTGACACCAATGATGGGGCACTATTCCTCCCACTGACACTTGCTGACCCCTGTTCCAGTATGGTGCTGCTGCAGCCAGCATATGTGGTTGCAGCAGCACCTAAGCACGGCACACTTACCTGCATCTCCTTCACTCGATTTTTGCGGGGCCGCTCAGCTCTGCCTCCTCGCCGGTGATTGGCCGCCTGTGTGCCTTTCCTGAGCTACAGTTCTGGCGGCCAATCACCGGTGAGAAGGCGGAGCCGAGCAGCCGCGCGAACATCCAGTGGAGGAACTGAATGAAGGAGCAGCCGCGCTTCCTGGACTGGATCGTCGTGGGACCGGAGCCAGGTAAGAGACCGCAGCCCCCTGCAGACGTTGTCTCGAGTATAAGCCAAGGGGGCCGTTTTTCAGCACAAAAAATGTGCTGAAAAACTCTGCTTATACTCGAGAGTATATACGGTACTTGCAAAGCAAGATAGTTCAAGCCATGATTTGTCATAAATTGTGATGATTATGGCTTGCAGCTCATGAAAACTCCAAATCTACAATCTCAGAAAATGAGAATATTGTGAAAAGGTGCAATATTCTAGGCTCAAAGTGTCCCACTCTAATCAGCTAATTAAGCCATAACACCTGCAAAGGGTTCCTGAGCCTTTAAATGGTCTGTCTGGTTCAGTAGGAATCACAATCATGGGAAAGACTGCTGACCTGACAGTTGTGCAGAAAACCATCATTGACACCCTCCATAAGGAGGGAAAGCCTCGAAAGGTAATTGCAAAAGAAGTTGGATGTTCCCAAAGTGCTGTATCAAAGCACATTAATAGAAAGTTATGTGGAAGAGAAAAGTGTGGAAGAAAAATGTGCCCAAGCAGCAGGGATGACCGGAGCGGATTGTCAGGAAAAGGCTATTCAAAAGTGTTGGGGACTTTCACAAGGAGTGGACTGAGGCTGGAGTCAGTGCATCAAGAGCCACCACACAGGCGAATGTCGTATTCTTTTTGCCAAGCCGCTCCTGAACAACAAACAGCGTCAGAAGCGTCTTACCTGGGCTAAAGAAAAAAACAGACCTGGTCTGTTGCTCAGTGGTCCAAAGTCTTCTTTTCTGATGAGAGCAACTTTTGCATCTCATTTGGAAACCAAGGACCCAGAGTATGGAGGAAGAATGGAGAGGCACACACTGCAAGATGCTTGAAGTCCAGTGTGAAGTTTCCACAGTCTGTGTTGATTTGGGGAGCCATGTCATCTGCTGGTGTTGGTCCACTGTGCTTCATTAAGTCCAGGGTCAATGCAGCAGTCTACCAGGAGATTTTGGAGCACTTCATGCTTCCTTCCGCAGATGAGATTTATGGGGATGCTGACTTCATTTTCCAGCAGGACTTGGCACCTGCCCACGCTGCCAAAAGCACCAAAACCTGGTTCAGTGACTGTGGGATTACTGTGCTCGATTGGCCAGCAAACTCGCCTGACCAGAACCCCATAGAGAATCTATGGGGCATTGCCAAGAGAAAGATGAGACATGAGACCGAACAATGCAGAAGAGCTGAAGGCCTCTATTGAAGCATCCTGGTCTTCCATAACACCTCAGCAGTGCCACAGGCTGATGGCTTCCATTCCACGCCGCATTGAGGCAGTAATTGCTGCAAAAGGGGCCCAAACCAAGTACTGAGCTTGAACTATCTTGCTTTGCATGTAATGAGTCTATCTCCTATATTTCACCTTTTTAAGTTGCATTACTGAAAAAAATGAACTTTTGCACGATATTCTTCTTATTTTAGTTTCACCTGTATGCTGTCATAACCTTTTTGATACTGAACCTCACGACACGGCAAATACACCGGCAACTTCAGTCAGAGGCACCAGCAAAGCAGGCACAATTTGCCCTCTTTTGAAGCTCGGTAAGCTCTGAAATGACTACGTATTACTAGCAGCTCACAGTGAAAGTGAGGCTTCCCACTTGTTAGCTAGGTGTAGTGAGGGAGCTAAAGGGAAAATGCGTAAAGATGTGAACTACCTTTTTTGAGTTCAGTGGGAAGATCTTAGCCAACTGTACTGGACTGAGTGGAAGAGCATAAAGAGGTTGTTCTGGCAGTTAGCTTTTTTTTTTTTTTTTTTCTTCACTTGGCAGGGTCAGGGTTTGCATTTGGCCTTCATCTAAGACATGCACTGTTAAATGGATATACATTTCCTTAGTTATGCAGTGGTTGACGTTGGAGTAGCTCTATGCATGGGTTAAATGGCTGGGCAAGATCCTCTGCTTCTGGGTTAAATGGCTGGGCAAGATCCTCTGCTTCTGGGTTAAATGGCTGGGCAAGATCCTCTGCTTCTGGGTTAAATGGCTGGGCAAGATCCTCTGCTTCTGGGTTGCCCTGTGCACATAGCTGGACAGCAGCATAGCACCATCTGTCATGCCTTAGTGTTCTACAGAGAGAATCACCTTCCGCTTTTATGACTAGTTTGAATAGTTCTAATATAATACTTAGATTACCATATTTTCCGGCGTATAAGACGACCGGCGTATAAGACGACCCCCTACTTTTCCTGTTAAAATATAGGGTATGGGCTATACTCGCCGTATAAGACTACCCCTCTTCCAACGCACACCAAATAAAAATTAAAAAACATCAGATTTGATTTCAATATGGTATGGTATTCCAATGATGGGGCACGATTCCTCCCACTGAAACCAATGATGGGGCACGATTCCTCCCACTGACACCAATGATGGGGCACGATTCCTCCCACTGATACCAATGATGGGGCACGATTCCTCCCACTGACACCAATGATGGGGCACGATTCCTCCCACTGACACCAATGATGGGGCACGATTCCTCCCATTGACACCAATGATGGTGCCTCATCATTAGTGTCAGTGTGTGAGGAATCGATCGCATCACACCATTGGTGTACGTGGGAGGAATAGCGCCCCGTCAGTGGGAGGAATAGCGCCCCGTCAGTGGTGTCAGTGACACCAATGATGGGACACTATTCCTCCCAATGACACTTGCTGACCCCTGTTCCAGTATAGTGCTGCTGCAGCCAGCATATGTGGTTGCAGCACAACCTCTGCACTGCACACTTACCGGCTGCTCCCTCACTTGATTTTTACGGGTCCGCTCGGCTCCGCCTCCTCGCCCGTGATTGGCCGCCTGTGTGCCTTTCCTGAGCTACAGTTCTGGCGGCCAATCACCGGTGAGGAGGCGGAGCCGTGCGGCAGGAGTGAGGGAGTGGCTGGAGTGACTGAATCAGCAGCGCTTCCTGGATGGATCGTCGTTGGAGCCAGGTAAGAGACAGCAGCCCTCTGCCCACCCCTGTACTTGGTGTCCCTTCCGTCGGAAGGGGGGGGCGGCACTGCGCCGCCCCCATAAAGTGCCGCCCTGATGTATACCGGCATATAAGACGACCCCCGACTTTTGAGTAGATTTTCAAGGGTCAAAAAGTCGTCTTATACGCCGGAAAATACGGTACCACTTTTTATAGTTCAAGGTCTTTAAAACCTGTGTTGGGGGTTCTATTTGTCTTTTTACCTCTGCTTGCCTTTTTGGATTTGGTTTTTGTCTAGGTATTCATCAGAAATTTAAAGCAAGCAGTCCATATAGTTTAAACGCAGTAACTGTGTATCCACAGCTATTGTCTGAATGAGATTTCCAAATCTGTTTTGATTTGGCCACATTTATTGTGTTGAGATTGTCAGGCAGTCTGTTTTGCCAGCATATGCGGCTTTTTTTTTTTTTTTTTTTTTTTTTTTTTCACCTTGGCAAAAAAAGTTGTAGTCTTGACCTCTCAGCTTAATGAATATTGGAGGTCCTTATATTTTTCACATCTATAATGTAAGGGAATTTCCACCATCAATGGAATAGTGGAAATCCTCTTTTATACAGGGAATTTTGAGCATCAGCTTATTGTTTGTGTTTGGCCCTTTTATTGGCATTGATATGATGAGAAAGCCGTTGCTTCATAAAACGGTCAGGTCAGGAACAGTGGGAGTGATAGCTGAACTACAAAGAGATTAGCGACCTCACTTTATAAAATATGACAAAGTATTTAGTTGACCCAAAAGTTTACTTCTAGGGGGGAAGTCTAGGTTGAGCAATTTTTTGGATTTGTGTATACAGGGAACTTCATTGGTGAGATCTTTGCTGGCTTTGTGTACATCAGCCTTTTTGTTCTAACTCCTATCTTTTCAATAAAACTACCTTGTATTGCAACTCATGTGCCAGCCCAACAATTCAAGCAAAGAAATTCAAACATTAAAATCCCAGAGATAAAAAGGAAGTAGCTCTCCAGTATCTATCAGTTTTAAATTGCCATTTCATCCTTTTTAATGTTTTTTTTTTTTTTTTTTTTTTTTTTTTTTTTTGACAGGTGGTTCCCAAAAGGACAAACAGACCCGGCATTAGCACAACAGACAGAGGCTTTCCACGTGCAAGATACAGAGCTAGAGCATCATCGTACAGCTCCCGTTCCAGATTCTACAGCGGCTATCCTTCAAGACCCAGAGGACGCGTGTACAGGTCTGGGGGCTGATCAGCACAGGAAGCATTGGGGATCCAGTTGGTGGGTGTTGGGATATTTGTCATTATCACAACTTTGTCTGCTTACACTAGGCTTGTCTTTTTCAGGGGTCGGGCTCGTGTGACATCATGGTATTCACCTTACTAAACATATAACGTTAGGAAGACCTGAGAGGCAAAAACACAAAAAAAAGAAAAAAAAAGAAGACTGGAAATGAATTTTAAGAGTTTATTAAAACAGGGTCCCATGTGACCCATTCTTTTCTCTTGTGCTCACATGCCCCATGTTCATCCTTCAATGTTTCAAGATGGGTGTGGTAGGCCAGGCTCCTGATGGTTTCTGTATGTTGGGGGTAATAGGAGGTTGTACTAATTAGTGTGAGTGTATGACTTGTCCTGGGGTATTCTGGGGGTGTGCTGACTGTTTATGTGCAGGATACCTGTTAATCAAAGAATGTGTATTATGAATGGTTCCCAGCCTAGTGTGTTTTCTGCTGTGGGAGGGAAGTGATGTCTGCTAAACATCCTGCTGTTTTCCTTTTCTTTTTCTTTTTTTTTGCGTGTTTTTATCTTTGCAGGTATCTTTCTATGGGAGAAGCTTGTTTCCCGGAGAGAGTCGGCTGCACCTCACAAAACAGCCTTTTCTTTAGTTTTATTCTAGCTCAGATTCCTGCATAGTGCTGGAAGATACAAGCTGGGCATCTTGTGTTTTAGACTGTTCCTTTTTTGTTTTTTTTTTTTTTTTTTGTTTTGTTTTTTTTTTTTTTTTTCCTTTTGAGACTTTTTTTATAGTGCCAGGCAGGGAAAGGAGAAAAATAAAAAAAAAATGGTAACATGTAATTTGTGTCTGTTTTTTTTTTTTTTTTTTTTTTTTTTTTTTTATTGGACTGCAGGCAGTTGCTCTGAGGTCCATGTCACTTACTCAACCACCTTGGACAAAAGTCATAAACATTCTCTATTACCCACAAATGTTTTATTTTTAAACCTGTTAAAGGAGCAGGCCATGTCAATACCAGCTGTGTTATGTACCTCAGAGGCAAAGCACTGCCGAAATTCAAGCGCCACAGAGGGAAAAAATGGGGAAATGGCTGCACACATCTACTGTGAGGCAGTAACTGTCTGTAGTTTCATGTTTGTTCTGTAGTTCAGAGGGTTTCCATGGACATTGGTGTATTCACACCTGTAGGCACATTTCCACTGTCTCCTGCATTTGTGCTTTTGTACGTGAAAACAAGTTTGTTTGTTTTTTTTTTTGGGGGGGGGGGGGGGGGGGGGGTTTGTTTTACTAAATTGTGTTTTTATTTTTAGAAAACGAACATTTGCAATGAGACCATTTTACATATGTCTAATTTAGTGGTCTACAAACTATGGCCCAGGGGCCGGATGCGACCCTTTGCTTTCCCTAATCCGGCCCTTGGGGCACTTTCTCCCACTGATACAAGACACTATTCCTCCCACTGGCACAAACAAGGGGGCATAATTCTTGCTACTGACATCAACAGTCATTACTCCTCTCACTGAAACAAACCATGGGGCACTATTCGTCCCACTGACACCAGTGATGGAGCACTATTTCTCCACTTTACACCAAGAATAGGGCTCTTCCTCCCTAATTCCAAAGATGCATTGTTTACTCCCAATGACGTAGGACAATTTCTACTCTCAATGGCCACAGTCCGGCCCCCCTAAGGTCTGAAAGTCAGTAAACTGACCCTTTGTTTAGAAAGTTTGGAGACCCCTGGTATAAATGAACAATTGTTTACAATGAAGGGAAGAATACAATCTGGTAGTACAAATTAAGTGCAAAATCTCAAACAGACATGAAGTTGCTCAAAATACAAAAACGGACGTCTCAAGTAGGGTCCCCACTTATTGTGGAGCACAGGTCTAGAAGGCGTATGTGTGCATCAAGTAACATACCAAAAGTAGTAAGAGATAAGTAAACAAAGGACCAAATCTGTGGTTAATCCTAGATCTAATGAAAAGTTTTATATAGTACTAACAGTAAAGAGTATGTGAACATACACCAGTAGTCGCCATAGTACTCAGCCTGTGTGACATTATAAAACAAAATAGGAGGTAGTGGAGGGTCGAAATTTGTTGAACAGCTTCATTGTATCTTTGGCTGCAGTATGTTCCATCTGCCCTATGTCTGCAATAAGTAGTCTGCGACTACTGCAACTCCCTCCTCATTGGCTTACCTTTTACAGAGGCTATCCCCCCTCCAGTTCATCATGAATACTGCTGCCAGGCTCATCCACCTTACCAACCATTCAGTGTCTGCTACCCCTGTCTGCTAATCCCTCCACTGGCTTCCACTCACTCAACAAATAAAATTCAAACAACTTACAAAGCCATCCACAACTCTGCCCCCAGCTACATCACCAACCCGGTCTCACAATATCAACGAAACCGCTCTCTTCAATGCTCCTAAGACCTTCTGCTCTCTAGTTCCCATGTCACCTCCTCATGCTCCATGCTCACCTCCAGGACTTCTCCCATCCTATGGAACTCCCTATCCCAATCTGTCTGGCTGTCTCCTAATCTATCCACCTTTAGACGATACCTGAAAACCTTTCTCTTTAAAGAAGTCTATCCTGTTTCTACCTAGTAAACCGCCATTTATTTCCTCCATAAGCTCATCCCCCCCACAGCTATTACATTTTGTATCACTCAACCCTTCCTCCTAGATTGTAAGCTCTAACGAGCAGGGCCCTCTGTTTCCTCTTGTACCAAATTGTAATGTAACTGTAATGTCTACCTTCATTTTGTAAAGCACTGCACAAACTGTTGGCGCTATATAAATCCTGTATAATAATATATGATTTGAGGACCAGATGAGGGTTTATTAGTTTGCCAATGTAAAGAGAGAAGTCTTCTAGTGGCCATAAGAATATGTATGACCAGTAATTTTTTAGAATATTTTGGGATGCCTATGAAGGGCAGCCCAAGTTAACCAAAATAAGTACTTCTAAAATTTGGTTAGTTGCATAACCCATAACCAGAAAGGTTGGATCAGGAAGCATTGCCAAAAAAAAAGAACAAGGTGCAGTTTTCCTGTTCACTCCTTCAGCATATGTCACTATAGATTTGTATGTATAACGTACATAGTTTTTTTTATACCAGAACATCAGTATTTTTATAGATATTTTCTTTGTTTGCCACACATAGGGAGTACTTAGCTGCTGTGTCCCAAATGTTACTAAATTTTTTTCATTGGGTCTTTGAAGACCACCCTTTAAGTGTTACTAAACCCACAAGCGTAAAAAGTGTCTATGCAGTAAAGCATGCTTGTTATACTCTGGAACCTAAGGGGTTAATTCTCTGCATTGTGTAAAAAGGCTGTTTGATCCTGACTTCTCTGGTTCTCCCCTTCCAGTGTCCCCCTCTCGTGATAAGACATTATGTGGAGACACTGCACAAGCTCTGTTTGGTGTTTTTTTTTTTTTTTTTTTTTTTTCCCTGTTCTTGAGTGCATGTGATCAGCACCTGAGGTGTGCCTGCAGTGGCTCTGGTGGTTTTATCTCAATATTACCCTTGGGGTTCTAGTGGATTACATCCTGGTATTTAAAGCAGAATTCCAGTCAAATGGTTTATTTTCCCATGCACTGGTCTATGGGTGTGATGACATCAGGAACAGCCTAGTCACAAGGCTAGTGGGGGGGGCAGGAGCGGCTAGCGGTTACTATAGCCTCTCCCTGCACATCATTTTACTGAACATCTGAGCTGTATCGGCCATCTGTATGCAAGCATGGATCCTGAGGATGCAAGTTGTGTGAAATGCGTTGCTCTTACACACTTATAACTTATTGATTACTTATGATTGTGGCAATTGCTCACATGTATAAACCAACTACCTTTTCATATTCTACAAACATACACACCCTATCCCGTAGTCTCATACTACTAACATAATGTCCATCAAAAAGTCCCACATAAAAAAATCAAAAATAAAAAAATAAAATAAAATGTGCAAAAAATAATCCTTGTTTCTTCAATCTTCCACCTATGACAATGTCCAAATCTTCCCTTCAATCCAAAAGTACCTCAAAAAAAATAAACTAGATATAGTGCATTATCTTTTACAAAATCAATAAACGTGATAGCATGCAACCACACTGGTGACATAAGTAAACATCACACATGTGAAGTGAAAAAACAGCACAGTAAGCTGTTTAATAAATTATGTATACCATTTATACTATTCCACTGAGTCTGCTCCCATTTGTCCTGTGAGGAACGGGGATCCCGATGCCCGTCATTGTGTGAGGAGGGGATTCCATTATCTACTCATCTTAAGGATAGCATACCCCCAGTGAAGGCTGTATGTGGCACAAAGAAAGTTTTAAGGGGGTAATTGTATATTATCCTACATATGTAGTGGCACGTATTTGGCATCATTTTGTCACTGATCACAATTGTGTTTTTGTAGTGTCACACATTGCAGTGGTGGTTTCATAGGACCACTAGTTAAGTGGTGTGCTGTTTTTTCACTTCACATGTGTGATGTTTACTTATGTCACCAGTGTGGTTGCATGCTATCACGTTTATTGATTTTGTAAAAGATAATGCACTATATCTAGTTTATTTTTTTTGAGGTACTTTTGGATTGAAGGGAAGATTTGGACATTGTCATAGGTGGAAGATTGAAGAAACAAGGATTTTATTTTGCACATTTTATTTTTTTATTTCTTTTTTTTTTATGTGGGACTTTTTGATGGACATTATGTTAGTAGTATGAGACTACGGGATAGGGTGTGTATGTTTGTAGAATATGAAAAGGTAGTTGGTTTATGCACTTTCAAGGGTGAAAGTTTGACTTTTCATTTGGGAAATTAAAGAGTGTTAATTTATTAATTGCTCACACGTGACATGCTGTCATTGAATTTATGCTTGTTTCTAATGTATTTTAATTTTTTTAAACAAATTATGGTTTTGTATATTTGTACCTGTGTATCTTCCAGCAGACCTTGACTGCCCATAGGGCACACCAGTCTTTTGCCTGGTGGGGCAGGGCTGCCTGGATAGGAGAGGTGGCATAAAGAGGAACCACTGCTGCTGCAGAGAAATGGACAGCTTTATCTGTATACTACCCCTCCTATCCATCTTTGCTGCCTCTTCTCTCCTGAGCCCCCCTCCTCCCACGCA